CACACTCTGCGTGGCGCTGTCTGCTGGAGTTTGACCTGGCCTCAGATGTTGATTATGATTCCACATTGCGTGCCCGCAGAAATGTTAATGATCCTGCGGTGTTTTATTGCCCGTGTCAATTGTCTGCGTGGGCCGATGTTGAATTTAGAGCGTTTCCTCTCGTGCGCAGTGCGTGCGCCTTCACAGAGCAATCTGCGCATGCAAACGCGAATGTCCCCCCAAATGGCAGGAACAGACTGAGCATGTCTGCAGACGCGGCACGCCGCATATCCGTGACAGGTGAATGTCCAACACGTGGTAAATAAGAACGATGGGACTTCCGTTTAGAACATCGGCGGAGCACGCTGGCAATGTAATCAAATAAATGACAACATTTTAAGTTGAAGACGTAGGCTTTCGCGAGCAATAATATCCATTATACAGCTTTGTTTTGGGAGGTAAGATCGCGTAAATATAAATGTGTCGTTCAACTGGCCGTCGCCTGATTTTGCTAGTTGTAATTACTGACGAAACGTCGTACTCAGATTGCAAATGTTGTGGATTTACTCTCCAAAACACCGGTTAGTGCTGGACTAGTGACGAATCGGCACGGTTCTGTTTACGTGACGAACCTTACTTACTGGCTGTGGCGGGTTTCGCGACGCATTTATAGTTGCGCCATGGAACTCAAAAAGAAACCTGCATCATGTAAACAGCAGCATGTGCGTCTTGGTGGATCTGGGATATCCGATTCTCACGAGGGGGGTCCTGCCCCGCGCGCTGGCGACATGAAGGAGTCGCTCAGAGGGCACAAGCGGACGCCTTTGGGTGGACACCCCTTGCCTCCCTTACCCTCTTGCCCCCCTTTTACCCCCCTTACCCCCGTACCCCCCTTACCCCCGTACCCCCCTTACCCCCTTACCCCCTTGCCCCCGTGGCATCAGGCAACCCCCTGCAGGCAACGGTTGTAGAGGGCCACGCCGAGCTTACGAGGCGCGCTGGAAGTAAAAAAACCTCGTCCCGTTTGGTTCACGGTGGCACGCGTGGAGGGCACTGGCCGCGATGACCTCTTGACCTTGAGCACCTCCCTGGTCACCGCGAGGAGGAGCCGCCTCTGATCTTCACCAGGTGCCGCGCCACACCTCGCCCCGTGAGCCTCGCCTGGCACCGAGGCTCACGGCAGAGCCATGCGCAGCAGCGTCACTGCACTATACACTACACACTACTATACACTACACTACTATATACTACACTATACACTACACACTACTATACACTACACTACTATATACTACACTATACACTACACACTACTATACACTCAGAGCCGGCCCAGCCACTAAGCGACCCTTGCAATTGCAAAGGGCCCCGTGGCCAGCAGAGGGCCCCCTAGAGTCACTGCTAGCTAGTGGGTGAAAAAAATCATACATCAAAGGGGCCTCCAACCAAATTTTGCTTAGGGCCCCCAAAGGTCTAGGGCCGGCTCTGTATACACTACACTATACACTACACTAATATACACTACATTACTATACACTACACACTACTATACACTACACCACTATACACTACACTACTATATACTACACTATACACTACACTACTATACACTACACTATACACTACACTACTATACACTACATTACTATACACTACACACTACTATACACTACACTATACACTACTATACACTACACTACACTATACACTACACTACTATACACTACACTACTATACACTACATTACTATACACTACACTACTATACACTACACTATACACTACTATACACTACACTATACACTACACTACTATACACTACACTACTATACACTACACTACGATACACTACACACTGCACTAATATACACTACACTATACACTACTATACACTACACTATACACTACACTATACACTACACTATACACTACACTGTTCCAGCCTCACGTGGGTTTCTCTGCTGTCGCCTCCTCGGTGTGGAACTCTTCGTCCACTTTGCCCCTTTGCACACCCGCAACGTCAAATGCACTCGGGCGTTACAGAAGCACCCGGCAGCAGAGGGGCCTCTCGGTCTGCGTCGGGTCGACGCTTTCGAGCGGCCACGAACTTGACGCCCGCGCGTCCGAGTTGTTGACTTGTCGGCGACATCTGACGCGTTATCAATGTCATCATCATTATCAATGGGGGGGGGGGGGAGTGGTGGGGGTGGGGGGCAGTTCTGTTCATGAAGGGGAGCGCGTGTCCCCCCACACGCGCGCGGAGAGCCGCCACCACCACTCCGGTGCCCCAGCGTGGAGGGAGTGCACCAGGGGGGGGGGGGGGGGGGTCTGGTTCCATCCTCGTAGCGCGCAGTCGCCGCTGGCTGTGTCCGTGCCGCGCGTTGCGTTTGTTTTTGTTGTTGTTGTTGGGGTTGAATCGCGCGTCGTTCGGCGCGAAGTCCGACGTTTTTCGTTCCGCGCGCCGCTAGCTTCTGCAGGATCTTCGAACCGACAACATGGTGTGGGGGGGGGGGTAGGGGGGGTGCAATCGGTGTCGTGCAGCTGCACTAGCGAGTTCTGGGCTCCGCAGGGTCGCGTTGCGGGTTAGTGGCGGGGAAACGGTGAAACTAAAAGCCCCTCGGCAGAGTGCAGCGAGGCGCTTTGTGAGACGATGCGCGCGGTTTTCTTCTTCACTTCTGGTTTTTGCGCGTTTTTTATTGACTACTGGCGCTGGGTAACCTCGACAGGGCGATGTTGGATCTTGGCAGCGCAAAGAGATGGCTTCTGTGCCGGCTCGACTGTGGTTGTTGTGCTCGACACGCTACTCATTATCACCACCATCATAATCACCATCATCGCCATCATAATCATCATCACGGCCATCATCTCCATCATTGCCATCATAATCATCACCGCCATCATAATCATCGCCACCATAATCATCATCATCACCACCATCATTACCACCATCACCACCACCATCACCACCGCCATCATCACCATCATAATCATCACCACCGCCACCAAAATCATCATCGCCACCATAATCATTATCATCACCACCATCATTACCACCATCATCACCATGTCGACGCCCACAGCTCACACCCTTACAATGACCTGACTTCTATTTTTTGTAGCGGAGGGTGTTATTTTCTCTTTTGTGATTTCCTTGAAATTATCGGGTTGTATCGTGGTCGCGGCCGCACGCACCCGTGCCATGGACAGGGACACTTTCAAAGCCGCTTTGCCGCAGCAGTGCCCCTGGGCACGGCTGTCAGGGAGGAGCCTCCCATAGCTCTCGTGATCTCAGATGTATCCATTATCTCGCATCTTCGCCTCCAGGGCGAAACATCCCCAACGCGTGAAGTCCTTAAAATGAAACGATGATCGGTTACAGCCGCGTAAATCATCAAACAGATTGAGGTCCATTAGCCTCGTGAGCTTGCGAAGCGATGTTTTGAAGCGATAGTGGTGGCTGTGTTGCTGCTACTCGTGCTGGTGATGGCGGTGCTGCTACTGTAGCGGCGGTGGTGGTGGCCACGGTGATGGTGTCAGTGGTGGTCGTGGTGGTGATGGTGGTGCTGCTCGTGGTGGTTGTGGTGGTGATGGTGGTGCCAGTGGTGGTTGTGGTGGTGATGGTGTCAGTGGTGATCGAGGTGGTTGGTGGTGATGGTTGTGCTGCTCGTGGTGGTTGTGGTGGTTGTGGTGGTGGTGCTGACGGCGGCTGAGCAGAGGCGAAGTGGTCAGCGCACTGCGCTACGAACCCGGCAAGATGGGTTCGAGTCTCGCTCACGGCCAACATCAGTGGCGAATATTTGAACCGGTCCTGGGCCTCGCCCAGGTGGACTCAGCCTCCAAATCGTACCTGGTGCAATGTGTAAATATCGCCACAAGGGAGACAAAGGCCGCCGGGCGGGGTGCTGGCCACCCACCCTCTCGCGTGCCGTGCCGGGCTTCATCGATGTTACTCGTTAACAGCACTTGCCCCGATAGTTATTTAGTTGCTTTGGTGGTTGTTAACCACTGGTGGTGTCTGTTAACCACCACTAAACGATGTTAACCCAATGTGGTGGCTGGTAACCACCACTAAACGATGTTAACCCAATGCAAACAATGTGTGCGTGGTTCGCGCTGATAAGCTGTAACCGAGCGTGCAGCTAAATCTGGGGATTTCCACACCAGCAGAGTTTGACTTCTGCTGCTGTGCCTGGAGGCGTCTATTTATAACTAATCCGCACATTTAGCTGTGGGGTGTGTGTGTGTGTGTGTTTAGAGTTTGTGTGTAAGTGTTTGTCTTGGCCACCCACCCTCCCGTGTGCCGTACTGGTCTTGAAAGGCGCTCGCGAACAGAACTTGTCCCAAGAGTCGACTCAGGTGACACGGGGGGGGGGGGGCTCTCATTGTCTGTGTTGTGTGTGGGAGCCTCGCAGCCAGCGGTGTGCCTGGCGAAACGTCGCCCATCTCGCTGCCGATGACTCCTGGCCCTGAGTTTCGGTCTTCGACTCGCCCCTACGAGCTGGATCAGCGAGGACTGTCGCGTTAAACGCTTGGACTAGTGACGATTTTTTTGTTATTTTTGTTTTGTTTGGCAAGTGTGGAGGGTCTTACGACACAGATGGCGGGCACATTACGTGGCCTAATCCGAAGATGAATAATGATGTATACCAACGGTTGTACACAATAGCGACGTTGTCTGACTAGCGCGTCAACAACCCTTTGCAGCGTGCGTGTCTCCAAAATATTCGCCGGCACTGGGAGCCACGGGGATTCGGTGTCTGTCTCAGGGTTGGCGGTGTTCGCTGCGCGCCATCGCGCGATGTCTCCGGCGCATCTCGCAGTTCCATTGCGCCGAGCTCCCGGGACCAGGCTGGGGCACAACATGAGTCGACCAGTGAGAAGCGGCAGCGGTTCGCAGCGGGTTCGGCCGAAGGTTGCCTCCAAGGGTCGCTCCCGCAGAAGGGCGATTCTCCGAACGGGCGCTTGAGAGGGGAATGGACTTGCACTCGAGGGCGAGAGAGAGAGCAAACGCGACGTTTGTGTGTCGAGGAAGCGAGCCGTCCATTTTTATTCATTGTCAACAGATCGCTTCTCGGACACGTATTTTTTTTTAAACCATTATTATATATATCGACCCGAACCCAGAAAAGCCCTCGGTAAGCAAGGAGTCGTGTCGCTACTCAACAGGAGTCGAATTTCTTGGTTTGCCAACGGTGTCAGAATCTTGATCAAAATCTTTGTTTTTGGACTGGGAGGAATCCGATGAACTATTAAGCTCTCCCTCCCCCCACCACAAATGTCCAGATGTGATTGCGTCTCAAAATGTACGGCTGCCCTTTTAAAAAATTAAATAAGCTTCCCAAAAACGATGCGATTGTGGAAAATCATATTTCCCCTCGGAACCACCCTTCAAACCCCATCACCCCAGACTTAACGACACATTTATATTTACGCAATCTAACCCCAAAAAGCCCCTCTATTATGGATAATATTGCTCGCGAAAGCCCACTGCTCCCTACTACGTGTCAAACTGACAGCCACTTGAAGTTGCCAGATCGCCGCAGCTGAAGAACACCACCGAGACAAAGCACCAAACATCAAACAGCCCGTTGCTGTCGCGAACAAGCCCATTGTTCTTCAGGTTCTAATTCTAATGTTCCAATGTTCCATTGCGAATCCCATTCACGGCGGAGTAACTTGTTAGATTGAAATACACTGGGAGCGCAGTATTCTACGTAAAGACGACAAATTATCATCTTGATTGGAAGCTTTCGTGACTGCAGGAATCCATACTCTTTGGTTCTTTCGGTAAAGTCACGTGGGTAGAAAGTAAAATAAATCACGACGTTTCGATCGCAACACAAAATATAATCCAGCAGTGGAACTGATGGATTACATTTTTTTGTGTTGCGATCGAAACGTCGTGATTTTTTTTTTACCTACCTGACTACAGATTTAATTTCATCGCCATCATTATCATTGTCAGCCGTGGTCTCTCCACTGCTGGATGAAGTCCTCCCCCCGGCTGTCGCCAACTTCTCATCATCCCACGAAACCAAATTCTGACTCCTTGGACGTGAGCCGATCTGATGACTTCATCTCCACGCTGGACATCCTTGCGGGACCAGTCCCAGATCTCTTACGAGGTTACACAAGTCTACTGAAGTAAAGATCTACACTATTTACCTGCCTTTCCTTCACACCCAACCTACATGCCAAGCCCGATGTAGTTACACAATGCAGGACGTGACGTACCGTGGTATGTATACACCACGGCGCACACGTACGTCATATCGCGGTGCATGCGTGTGTGACGTGTCCGTGGCACGCGCACGCACGGAGCCAGGGCACGTGCACCGTGCCGGGTGCACGCGCGCGTGTGTGTGCCACGTGCTGCCCGGGTGAGTTGAGTGTGCCTTGTCTGTGCGTGCCGCGGTTGTCTGCTGAAGCTGCGCTCCCCATTGCCCCGTCTTGTCTCTCATCCGCTCCTGTTGAGGCCAAACTGCAACGGCACGGGGGGATCGGAGGTCTCACAATCGCTCCCCCGTGGTTCGCTTTCAGCTGATGTCGTTGAACCGGGTGAGAACGCAAAGCAATCCGGGATAGTCTCGCGTGCATGAATGACCTGGGGCATGAGTACGTGAGTAGGGAGCGGTGATTATTGCTGCTGTGTGTATCATCACAGTTAAGTCGATTTGTTGGTATTTTGTTCCGTTTTATATTGAAAGTGACACCAGCACAGAAATGGCCAACTCTTGTGGATGGCATCATGGGGGGGGGGGGGGGGGGCGGGGGGTGTTTGACGTCCACTGTGAAGCAAACTGCGCGTAGTCATGTGACGTAGTGATGTGACGTAGTGATGTGACGTAGTAATGTGACGTAGTCATGTGACGTAGTGTTGTGACGTAGTGTTGTGACGTAGTGTTGTGATGTAGTGATGTGACATAGTGTTGTGACGCAGTGTTGTGATGTAGTGATGTGACGTAGTGTTGTGACGTAGTGTTGTGATGTAGTGATGTGACGTAGTGTTGTGACGTATTCATGTGACATAGTGTTGTGACGCAGTGTTGTGATGTAGTGATGTGACGTAGTGTTGTGACGTAGTGTTGTGATGTAGTGATGTGACGTAGTGTTGTGATGTAGTGATGTGACGTAGTGTTGTGACGTAGTCATGTGACGTAGTGTTGTGATGTAGTGTTGTGACATAGTAACGTGACGTAGTAATGTGACGTAGTGACGTCACGTAGTGATGTGACGTAGTAACGTGACGTAGTGATGTGACGTAGTCACGTGACTACGTCACGTGATGTAGTGTTGTGACGTAGTGATGTGACGTAGTGACGTGATGTAGTCATGTGATGTAGTCATGTGACGTAGTGATGTGACGTGGTGTTGTGACGCCCGCGCTAGCGACCGCGGGGGGGCGGGGGGCAGCCTTGCTGATTCGGCGCCGTGAAACCTCTGCGACAAGCGAGGAACGCGCCACCGCCAGACCCGCACCTCCTCATGTTTACCTCTTTCTTGAAGCGTCGCAGGATGTGCTTCACCCAGGCCTTGTCGGGGTCCAGGCAAACCTTCCTCCCGTTGGGCAGAGACGCGCTGCAACGGCACGGACGCACCCTCGCGTCACTCTCCGCGGTGAAGATGCCCTGTGGTGTTCCCTGTGGTGTTCCCTGTGGTGTTCCCTGTGCTGTCCCCCTGTGGTGTTCCCTGTGATGTTCCCTGTGGTGTTCCCTGTGCTGTTCCCTGTGCTGTTCCCCTGTGATGTTCCCTGTGGTGTTCCCTGTGCTGTCCCTGTGGTGTTCCCCTGTGGTGTTCCCTGTGGTGTTCCCTGTGGTGTTCCCTGTGCTGTCCCTGTGGTGTTCCCCTGTGGTGTTCCCTGTGGTGTTCCCTGTGCTGTCCCTGTGCTGTCCCCCTGTGGTGTTCCCTGTGCTGTTCCCTGTGCTGTTCCCCTGTGATGTTCCCCTGTGGTGTTCCCTGTGCTGTCCCTGTGATGTTCCCCTGTGATGTTCCCCTGTGATGTTCCCCTGTGGTGTTCCCTGTGCTGTCCCTGTGATGTTCCCCTGTGCTGTTCCCCTGTGATGTTCCCCTGTGGTGTTCCCTGTGCTGTCCCTGTGGTGTTCCCTGTGCTGTTCCCCTGTGATGTTCCCTGTGGTGTTCCCTGTGGTGTTCCCTGTGGTGTTCCCCTGTGGTGTTCCCTGTGATGTTCCCTGTGCTGTTCCCCTGTGATGTTCCCTGTGGTGTTCCCTGTGCTGTCCCTGTGCTGTTCCCCTGTGGTGTTCCCCTGTGATGTTCCCTGTGATGTTCCCTGTGGTGTTCCCCTGTGGTGTTCCCTGTGATGTTCCCTGTGATGTTCCCCTGTGGTGTTCCCTGTGGTGTTCCCTGTTCTGTTCCCTTGTGGTGTTCCCTGTGATGTTCCCTGTGGTGTTCCCTGTGGTGTTCCCTGTTCTGTTCCCCTGTGGTGTTCCCCTGTGATGTTCCCTGTGATGTTCCCTGTGATGTTCCCTGTGGTGTTCCCCTGTGATGTTCCCTGTGATGTTCCCTGTGGTGTTCCCCTGTGATGTTCCCTGTGATGTTCCCTGTGGTGTTCCCCTGTGATGTTCCCTGTGATGTTCCCTGTGGTGTTCCCTGTGGTGTTCCCTGTGGTGTTCCCTGTTCTGTTCCCCTGTGGTGTTCCCCTGTGATGTTCCCTGTGATGTTCCCTGTGGTGTTCCCCTGTGATGTTGCCTGTGATGTTCCCTGTGATGTTCCCTGTGGTGTTCCCTGTGATGTTCCCTGTGGTGTTCCCTGTGATGTTCCCTGTGGTGTTCCCTGTGGTGTTCCCTGTGATGTTCCCCTGTGATGTTCCCTGTGATGTTCCCTGTGGTGTTCCCTGTGATGTTCCCTGTGGTGTTCCCTGTGATGTTCCCTGTGGTGTTCCCTGTGGTGTTCCCTGTGATGTTCCCCTGTGATGTTCCCTGTGATGTTCCCCTGTGGTGTTCCCTGTGGTGTTCCCCTGTGATGTTCCCTGTGGTGTTCCCCTGTGGTGTTCCCTGTGATGTTCTCTGTGGTGTTCCCTGTGATGTTCCCTGTGATGTTCCCTGTGATGTTCCCCTGTGATGTTCCCTGTGATGTTCCCTGTGGTGTTCCCTGTGGTGTTCCCTGTGATGTTCCCTGTGATGTTCCCTGTGATGTTCCCTGTGGTGTTCCCTGTGATGTTCCCTGTGATGTTCCCCTGTGATGTTCCCTGTGATGTTCCCCTGTGATGTTCCCTGTGATGTTCCCTGTGATGTTCCCCTGTGATGTTCCCTGTGATGTTCCCCTGTGATGTTCCCTGTGATGTTCCCTGTGATGTTCCCCTGTGATGTTCCCTGTGATGTTCCCCTGTGATGTTCCCCTGTGATGTTCCCTGTGATGTTCCCCTGTGATGTTCCCTGTGATGTTCCCTGTGATGTTCCCTGTGATGTTCCCCTGTGATGTTCCCCTGTGATGTTCCCCTGTGATGTTCCCTGTGATGTTCCCCTGTGATGTTCCCCTGTCATGTTCCCTGTGATGTTCCCCTGTGATGTTCCCCTGTGATGTTCCCTGTGATGTTCCCCTGTGATGTTCCCTGTGATGTTCCCCTATGATGTTCCCTGTGGTGTCCCCTGTGGTGTTCCCTGTGATGTTCCCTGTGATGTTCCCTGTGATGTTCCCTGTGGTGTTCCCTGTGATGTTCCCCTGTGATGTTCCCTGTGATGTTCCCTGTGGTGTTCCCTGTGATGTTCCCCTGTGGTGTTCCCTGTGATGTTTCCCTGTGATGTTCCCTGTGGTGTTCCCCTGTGATGTTCCCTGTGATGTTCCCCTGTGGTGTTCCCTGTGATGTTCCCCTGTGATGTTCCCTGTGATGTTCCTCTGTGATGTTCCCTGTGGTGTTCCCCTGTGATGTTCCTCTGTGATGTTCCCTGTGATGTTCCCCTGTGATGTTCCCTGTGATGTTCCCCTGTGGTGTTCCCTGTGATGTTCCCTGTGATGTTCCTCTGTGATGTTCCCTGTGATGTTCCTCTGTGATGTTCCCTGTGATGTTCCTCTGTGATGTTCCCTGTGATGTTCCCCTGTGATGTTCCCTGTGATGTTCCCTGTGATGTTCCTCTGTGATGTTCCCTGTGATGTTCCCCTGTGATGTTCCCTGTGATGTTCCCCTGTGATGTTCCCTGTGATGTTCCCTGTGGTGTTCCCCTGTGGTGTTCCCCTGTGCTGTTCCCTGTGGTGTTCCCCTGTGGTGTTCCCCTGTGATGTTCCCTGTGGTGTTCCCTGTGCTGTTCCCTGTGGTGTTCCCCTGTGCTGTTCCCTGTGCTGTTCCCTGTGATGTTCCCTGTGATGTTCCCCTGTGCTGTTCCCTGTGATGTTCCCTGTGGTGTTCCCTGTGATGTTCCCTGTGATGTTCCCTGTGATGTTCCCTGTGATGTTCCCTGTGATGTTCCCTGTGGTGTTCCCTGTGATGTCCCCTGTGATGTTCCCTGTGATGTTCCCTGTGATGTTCCCTGTGGTGTTCCCTGTGATGTTCCCTGTGATGTTCCCTGTGATGTTCCCTGTGATGTTCCCTGTGGTGTCCCCTGTGATGTTCCCTGTGCTGTTCCCTGTGCTGTTCCCTGTGATGTTCCCTGTGATGTTCCCCTGTGATGTTCCCTGTGCTGTTCCCTGTGATGTTCCCTGTGGTGTTCCCTGTGATGTTCCCCTGTGATGTTCCCCTGTGCTGTTCCCTGTGCTGTTCCCTGTGATGTTCCCTGTGATGTTGCCTGTGATGTTCCCTGTGATGTTCCCTGTGGTGTCCCCTGTGATGTTCCCTGTGATGTTCCCTGTGATGTTCCCTGTGATGTTCCCTGTGGTGTTCCCTGTGGTGTTCCCTGTGATGTTCCCTGTGATGTTCCCTGTGATGTTCCCTGTGATGTTCCCTGTGGTGTTCCCTGTGATGTCCCCTGTGATGTTCCCTGTGATGTTCCCTGTGATGTTCCCTGTGGTGTTCCCTGTGATGTTCCCTGTGATGTTCCCTGTGATGTTCCCTGTGGTGTTCCCTGTGATGTCCCCTGTGATGTTCCCTGTGATGTTCCCTGTGATGTTCCCTGTGATGTTCCCTGTGGTGTTCCCTGTGATGTTCCCTGTGGTGTTCCCTGTGATGTTCCCCTGTGATGTTCCCTGTGATGTTCCCCTGTGGTGTTCCCTGTGATGTTCCCCTGTGATGTTCCCTGTGATGTTCCCTGTGGTGTTCCCTGTGATGTTCCCTGTGATGTTCCCTGTGATGTTCCCTGTGATGTTCCCCTGTGATGTTCCCTGTGATGTTCCCTGTGGTGTTCCCTGTGATGTTCCCTGTGGTGTTCCCTGTGGTGTTCCCTGTGGTGTTCCCCTGTGATGTTCCCTGTGATGTTCCCTGTGATGTTCCCTGTGGTGTTCCCTGTGCTGTTCCCTGTGATGTTCCCTGTGATGTTCCCTGTGGTGTTCCCTGTGATGTTCCCTGTGGTGTTCCCTGTGATGTTCCCTGTGATGTTCCCTGTGGTGTTCCCTGTGGTGTTCCCTGTGGTGTTCCCTGTGATGTTCCCTGTGATGTTCCCTGTGATGTTCCCTGTGGTGTTCCCTGTGATGTTCCCTGTGATGTCCCCTGTGATGTTCCCTGTGATGTTCCCTGTGATGTTCCCTGTGGTGTTCCCTGTGGTGTTCCCTGTGATGTTCCCTGTGATGTTCCCTATGGTCTTCCCTGTGGTGTTCCCTGTGATGTTCCCTGTGATGTTCCCTGTGATGTTCCCTGTGATGTTCCCTGTGGTGTTCCCTGTGATGTCCCCTGTGATGTTCCCTGTGATGTTCCCTGTGATGTTCCCTGTGGTGTTCCCTGTGATGTTCCCTGTGGTGTTCCCTGTGATGTTCCCCTGTGATGTTCCCTGTGATGTTCCCCTGTGGTGTTCCCTGTGATGTTCCCCTGTGATGTTCCCTGTGATGTTCCCTGTGGTGTTCCCTGTGATGTTCCCTGTGATGTTCCCTGTGATGTTCCCTGTGATGTTCCCTGTGATGTTCCCTGTGGTGTTCCCTGTGATGTTCCCTGTGGTGTTCCCTGTGGTGTTCCCTGTGGTGTTCCCCTGTGATGTTCCCTGTGATGTTCCCTGTGATGTTCCCTGTGGTGTTCCCTGTGGTGTTCCCTGTGCTGTTCCCTGTGATGTTCCCTGTGATGTTCCCTGTGGTGTTCCCTGTGATGTTCCCTGTGGTGTTCCCTGTGATGTTCCCTGTGATGTTCCCTGTGGTGTTCCCTGTGGTGTTCCCTGTGGTGTTCCCTGTGCTGTTCCCTGTGATGTTCCCTGTGATGTTCCCTGTGATGTTCCCTGTGGTGTTCCCTGTGATGTTCCCTGTGATGTCCCCTGTGATGTTCCCTGTGATGTTCCCTGTGATGTTCCCTGTGATGTTCCCTGTGGTGTTCCCTGTGGTGTTCCCTGTGATGTTCCCTGTGATGTTCCCTGTGGTCTTCCCTGTGGTGTTCCCTGTGATGTTCCCTGTGATGTTCCCTGTGATGTTCCCTGTGGTGTTCCCTGTGATGTTCCCTGTGGTGTTCCCTGTGATGTTCCCTGTGATGTTCCCTGTGATGTTCCCTGTGGTGTTCCCTGTGATGTTCCCCTGTGATGTTCCCTGTGATGTTCCCCTGTGGTGTTCCCTGTGATGTTCCCTGTGGTGTTCCCTGTGATGTTCCCTGTGGTGTTCCCTGTGGTGTTCCCTGTGATGTTCCCTGTGATGTTCCCTGTGATGTTCCCTGTGGTGTTCCCTGTGATGTTCCCTGTGATGTTCCCTGTGATGTTCCCTGTGATGTTCCCTGTGGTGTTCCCTGTGATGTTCCCTGTGATGTTCCCTGTGGTGTTCCCTGTGATGTTCCCCTGTAATGTTCCCTGTGATGTTCCCCTGTGGTGTTCCCCTGTGATGTTCCCTGTGATGTTCCCCTGTGGTGTTCCCTGTGATGTGGTGCCTACGTGACGTCACGGTGGTGATGTGTCACGTGGCGTGGTGCCTCACGTGACGTCACGGTGGTGGTGTGTCACGTGGCATGGTGCCTGCGTGACGTTGTGTTGGTGGTGTGTCACGTGGCGTGGTGCCTACGTGACGTTGCGTTGGTGGTGTGTCACGTGGCGTGGTGCCTATATGACGTCACGGTGGTGGTGTGTCACGTGGCATGGTGCCTCACATGACATCGCGGTGGCAGCTGCTGGTGAAGCGGTGGTCCACCAACCCCCTGATGGACTTCAGCCGCAGCGGTTTGCGGTAGAAGTCGGCACACTGGCACCGGGTGTCCAACCCATGCACGATCACTCCTGCGCAACGGGTGGAGCGGGCGCGAGTCACCACTGTTCAGGGTCGCCGCGCGACGCTCACGAATCGCTTTGTTTCCGAGATAAATCGCCGAGTCGGCAGCGCGCCTTCTGGCTCGCATGGCCGTGTGAGCGGTGGTCGCTGTCCGTTCACCGCGTTGGTCCGATACACTGACTGGCGTCCGCATCACCGCTCTCCCTTCGCCTTGCCGTGGTGGCGAGATGTTAACTACCTCGCCTGATATACAGGAGGTCGTGCGTTCGATTCCGACCCTGACGCCTGCTGCTGTATATTTGGAGTTTGCGTGTCTCTCTCTCTTCGTGGTCGCGTGGATTTTTCTCCGGGTCCTCTGGATTTTCCCTCCACATTTAGAATCAACTTGCGTTCGAGTATTTGGCTGCTATGAATATCCACGCTATAATCCAATCCGTTGAGCTATCATTTGTGATAGCCAAGGTAGCTTATAAAAATAGCTAAATATCTCAGTGGGCCTTACCTGGTAAAATAAAAATGTAGATAAAATAAATTAATAATTAGAATTATTTAATTAGATATCATCGCTCCATCTGGGATGTATCGCCCTTGCACTGTGTGCCGCCCTCTTAGAACCACAGCCCCCTTCGTGCTTGACGAAGGCTTCCCTGCACGGTGGGGGGCGTTTGACCATACTTCACCACGCTGGTCAGTACGGGTTGGTGAAAGGCGGAGCTCAGGATCCGAAACTCTTACCTGGGGTCGCCAGCGTCAACACAAGTTAGCGCACCCACTGTGCCGCCACTCCCTCGTGATGCCACACGCGCGACTCGCTAAACCTGAAAGAATGTCGTGGTGTGCCGCAGAGTCTCAAAGTGCAATTCAGCACAAGGCGCCATAAACCCCGTGAACCCAAATACACACTTGGTTGCACCTCAGGCTATATGGACAGGCGAGATGTCGCCACACACTCCGATGGGCACAGGTGAAAGATCTTCAACATTTTGACCACTTTCGAGTCTGGCTCTAAAATGCGCTGTCTCACTCATGAGGATTTGAACGTTGGGCGGCGTCACGGAAAGGGCCTTAGGGTTCAAATCCGTCACCTAGGCCATCAGGGACAGCCACTTTGAGACCGAAACAGGAGGAGGATTTCTCCACAACTCTGGCTGTCGCCTGATGATGCTAGTTGTAATTACCGGCGAAATGTTGTACTCGAATTGTAAATGTTGGCGGCTTACTCTCCAACACACCGGTGTGCTGAACTAGTAACGAATCTGAACGCGTTGTTTACGTGACAAACTTTTTCTAATTGGCACATTAATGTAACCCCCAAAAAACCTCTATTGTCCATAATATTGGTCGCGAAAGCCCTACTACTACTACGTTAGACCACATAGATACGACCCGAGCGCTGTACACTGCAGTGACACATGGCAATGTGCGCACTTCCTTCACGAGTGGAAAATGAAAGACACGAGCCAGAGTGGGGTGCGACTATGGCGATGCGGCCCGAACTACAAACCGTGCAGTAAACCCCCTGTGCTCTGCGCGGCCAGCAGCAGACACTGGCCTCAAACTCCTGAACATATTTTAACTGCTGCCATTCGCGAGAGTAGAATAGTGCCACAGGGTTACACGATTTTGCCAGGAGCCGCAGGGGCAACGCGGATTTTAGGACGCACCGATTTGTGGAGGACGGATGATTGGAGTTTCGCCGGAGTACGCTCTCGTCTTCTGCGGACGAACGCAAAGTCTGAACACGTTTCCAAAATCGGTCAGGATCTCCGTGCCTCAGAGTCACGGTCCGCGTATGTCCGTGAAATATTGTGAATTGCATCATCATCATCATCATCTGCCATCTCATATGCGGAGTGATGGCGAGCTGTACATTCGGCCTGCAAATCCAGAATTGTTCAATTTAACCTGCCGGCGAATCCGTTAAGCCCAATGGGGAAAGCCACCTAAATATCCTCCTTGTCTCTGTCCACCTAGCAGTATGAATGATTTCGCAAGACTTAGTGCATTGGCAGGTTTTGTGTGTGTGGTGGGGTAAAGTGTGGGTACGCCGATCGGTTCGAGGACATCTTGAAGAGTTTGAACAGTGTACCCACGAGAGCTCGCTCCACCAGCGAGCAAGATATTGCAGGGCTTCGCCTTTACGCGCTCGCTTACCTTCTCCCCCTTTATTGTGACAGGGAAAGCACCGCTCGTGATCTGTCATCAGGGCTGCCGCTGACCAATCAGAATCGCACGCCGCTGACCAATCAGAATCGCACGCGCCGTGCCGTTTGTACATCGGCGCGTGCCGATTGCCTCATTCAATTATCTGCATTCGGCAGGAAAGCAGGTTTCCTGTTGCTGACCTTTTGGGCGCGCGTGACCGATACTAAGGGGACCGGTTGTCGATCATAGGACCCAATTTAGCATCACACGTTTAAAGTTGGGTCAACAACTGTACGTAGTTTTCAGCGAGCGCGTGAGCGAGCGAGAGTTATTTTTTTTCCCCCGTAGTTTCATTTGGTCAGGAAATAAAGCATTTGAGGACCAAACGAATAAATGTGCCACAATAATCACCTCTTTGTCAACCCACTGCTGGATGTGGTCTCGTCGGGGGTTTTGTGACCATACCGCTCGCCGCGGTTGGTTAAAAGTGTGGGCGGGGGTGGTCATAGACGTGGGTGCCGCACAGGCTCGAGACGACACCCGCGGTGGTGCTGCCCGACTGGGGCCGCTCGCGTGGCCTCTACCACCTCCCCGCAGCAGCCCCGTGCAGCGCCACCTCGCTCGGTTCGCGAGAGCCGCGGCGAACATCGCGGGCGCGAGAGAGAGAGGAGAGGGAGAGCCCGCGGGGGTCGCGCTGTAGCGCCGCGCTCGCGTTTTATAAACAAACTAAAATATTTTACTTTCTTGACGCGATGCCTGTGAAATAACTGATCGATCGGCGTTTTGGAACTCGACATTTACTCGTCGGCCGCACCGGGGAAACGTTTGCTGGAGTTCATCGACGGCGCGGCGTGATCACATCGCATCGCAACTCTGTCCCAGTTGGTCCAACCGATGGTGGCACGTGTGAGCGAGGGCGCGTGCCTTGTGAGCGCAGCAATGACGAGCAGCCCCCTTTGGCAGTCGCCACAAAGACACGAACCGCACCTCGACAGCCGCACGGAGGCTCCAGCAAAGCGCCGCAACCATTGCCACGTGCGATTCCACATTTATTGCCGAGCGTGATATCGCGACAATCGTCTTATCGCGACGAGGCGTGATCGTCTCGTGCAAAGCGCGACGCGGCCGCCCATCCGAGCGACCCAGAGCCCGCCGCGCCTGTGTGCCCTGGTGAGATGGAGCGCGTTGGCGCCCACGTCTCACCGTGAGAGGTGGAGAGCAGAGTGGCGATCAGCAGCAGCAGGAGCAGAGGCGACCTCATGTCTGCGGGGATGTCTCCTCTCCGCGTCGTTCGCGCCGCGCTTCTGAGCTCAGGACGCGCATCCGGGCCAATAAATAGCAGCCGAGGCTTTTTTTTCGTATCCCCCTTTCAGCGAGCGCTGCAGGAAATAATTAATGAACTCGCTCGCGACTTCAAACCAAAAACAACAGGAGGAGGAGCACCGAGGCACCTTTTTGTCGGAGGAGGTCTCTGGCGGCAGTAATATTTGTCGCTATCGCGGCAGAGGCGTCGCGTTGTTGTTGTGGCGCGAGTGAGTGTAGTTGTGTTAGCGAGGTGGCACCGCTCCGCAAACTCCACTCGCCCCGGCGCCCGGTCGGTCGGCGCACGCAGAAAGTGACATTCTGGCGCCATTCGCCCACCGCTCCCCGCCCAACCGATTTGGCGGAGCGCCGGCACCGCCCCAACGCCACCAACAATAGAATCATTCCCCAGCAGCCGCCGATTTGACTCCAGAGTCGGGCAGCCCCCCCCCCCACACACACATCCACCCCAGCCCTGTGTGGGTTACCCGGGGCTCGCAATGTCCCGCCTGGCAGTCGCTACAGCGCCACCGCAACCACCAAAGACAAAGATCCTCCCCGTGTAGCCTCAGCAGGCTGCTGGGGCAAGTGCTGTTCGCGAGCACTAATGAAGGCCGGCACGGCACACGAGCGGGTGGGTGGCCAGCACCACGCCCGGCCGCCTTTGTCTCCCGAGTGGCGATGTTTACACTGCACCGCACCGGGTGCTGATTTGAGGCTGAGTCGACCTAGGTGAGGCCCGGGACCGGTTCAGATAATGGTCACTGCAGTTGGCCTGGAGCGAGAATCGAACTCGGGTGGCCAGCTCAGCGAGCTGACCGCTACACTACCGCTCCCCACACCGCAACCACCACCGCCACCGCTACAAAAGCAAAGTTAGCCAGCAATGAGATGACGTGCGCGTGGGACCTGCTGTGGGAACTCCGCGGGCAGAGAGAGAATTCTTGCAGAGTCGTAACACAAACCGCCGTCGTGCAGGCGAGAGAAATGAGTTTTCTCAGACGCAAAGCGGTGCGCTGCTCACTGCGATTTCCGATCGCAATCAGCGTCTGGTCCCGTGACACGACGCTGGTTCTACAATTTGACTATAATCGCACGCAATTAAAACTAAATTCGTTATTCTGCGGCCTCGCCTGTACGAGTCGACGCGGCTCTCTGCGCTGCAGCGCGCCTTCAAAGTTCCTTTAAAGGAGATTTTCTCCAGCGGAGAGCTCTTCTGACAGCGGTGGCGAGAGCGAGAGATGGCAGGGCTGCACCTTGACACGTTTGAACTGAGAAGCTCGCCCAAGTGAACCACGCGGTTGACTTGGGCCAGACATGCGGCTTTGCACGTTTTTGCGCCGGTGCCACAATCATCTCATGCGTTGCGTCCGTCTCACTGGAAACGGTCACAGGTACCCAAAATATCACAAACGGTAAATCGATCCTGCGAATGTGTGTGTGTCATGGTTTATGATAGTGCAGGGAGCACTGGTGGGTGGATGGGTGATTGGGTGGGTGGATGGGTGAGTGGATGGATGGATTGGCGAGTGGGTGGGTGGATGGGTGAGTAGGTGGATGGGTGAGTGGGTGAGTGGATGGATGGGTGAGTGGAAGGGCTAGTGGATGGATGAGCATGTGATTGCGTGAGTGGGTGGATGGGTGAGTGGGTGGGTGGATGGATGAGTGGTTGGATGGAAGCAACATGAAGAATGAATCGAATCAGATCACTTGCCACGCGGTCTTAAACGAATCGCCCTGTGCGAGCCAGAGTGATCTCTTCAGAATTCGTGGACATCGTTTATATGTCCTCTCTCAGCTGTTGGAACAAATACGGCGGACTGAAGGAGGCAAGCCGATACAAACGAAACGGGATAAACGCGACGACAAATTCATGTGGCGTGGCACAATTTCGATTCAGAAATGCAGCTGTAGCAGTGTCCTATCGTGCGTCAAAACGGTGGCTCTGGGAGTTGATATTTGACAGCGACTTCCGAGGGCTCGCTGACAATCGACCTTTTGATTCACGCTCGGGCACACCACCCAGCATGCCCCGCGGTGCGTTCACAGCATGTCAATCAATCGGGCCCCGAAATGTTTTGGGTATCAGAGGCGGAATTTGTCCACGCAAGTACAAAAACGATATGCGGTAAATTATGAGATAAATTTATCTCGCAATCATTGGCGATCGGGCGAGGTCTGTAAAATTCCCAGTGAAGAACCTAGTAGGTTTTGTTCAGACACTCGCTGGCGACTGAACACAAAGATTCGAATTGCACGAACCTTGGGTGGTTGTGCCTGTGTTTCGATGAATGTGTGGAGGTTTGGATGGATTGATGAATGACTGCGTAGAGGAGGGAATGTCTGAATAGGTGGATAATTGGTGGATGGGTGGATGGGTGGATGGGTGGATAGATGTATGGGTGTGTGGCTGATGGATGAGTCGATGGATGAATGGATGGGTGATTGAAAGGGTGTATGGGTGAGTGAGTGAGTGGGTGAGAGGATGGTTCAGTTGAACAGGTGGACGGGTGAATTATCGCGTGTGTGGATGTATGGATGGGTGATTGAGCTTGTGAACATGTGTCTGGGTGGTTGAATTGGTTGATGGCTGATTGATTGAGGCAGCTCGTTGGGTTTGAGGGCGGATTTGGTGTCAGTCACCCCAGCTCTGGCCTCGATTTACCTGTCCCGACGGGTGCTGGCAGCATTACAGGCGCCAGTCCAGCTGCCTTAAAGCACTCGCAGCTTGTAAATCATCATAACGCGGAGATGTTAATGATAAGGGGAGGCTGGGGGCGACGGGAGGGGGGGGGGCTGTTTATTCAAAGCCCCGTTCAAAATTCGCCGTCGTTTGCTTTCCCACACGCAAGACGGCGTTGATCGACTCGCATTGATCGACTCAAATCGCTCCAATCGCATTTCGTCCTCGCGTGCGGTGGCGGGCGAGCGTCCCCCCCCCCCCCCCGCCCCCCCCCCCCCGGACCCTGGACACTGCACGCGCTTTAGAACGAGCCGAGGTGTATCTCCTTTACACCATCAGGAATGCTGTTAGCGCTTCATACGCGACGAGCGATGCGTCTGTGTGATATCAGTACGGCTGTGTTATGGCAACATGAAACGTTACGGCAGCGCGTGTCGAACGTTCAATGGCTTTGTCCATCACGATGATGAATCTGGCGAAGAGTGTTTCTTTTTCGCGTGGTTTTTTTTATCTCTCGGCCGCTTCGCGAGCAGCGTGGAGCGAGGGCCCCCGCGCCCCGTCTGGTGCCACTCGTGAGGCCAAATTAGTGGGGTTGGTGGTGGTGGTGCTGGTGGTGGTGCTGGTGGTGGTGGTGGTGGTAGTGGTGCTGGTGGTGGTGGTGCTGGTGGTGGTGGTGCTGGTGGTGGTGGTCACAGGTGGTGCATCAGCCAGTCATCTCGGTCATCTCAGTCAGTCGACCCGTGGCACCTGCTGGGTCTGCCCCGTGACCTCCTGCCAGCGGGCGTTCGACACTTCACGTGGCCTCAACGTGCACATGGCCTGGCACAAGCGTGGTGGTGATGTCACCGCCACTTAGTGGCGAATGGCGGTTGTTGTTGTTGTTGTTGGTGGTCACGTTGGCCCCAGGTGTGGAAGGTGGCCACACCTGCGCGTGCACACCCTGGTCACCTGCGCGTGCACACCCTGGCCACGTGGCCGGTTCGGAACGCGACCGTCAAGCGGGGCCCGGTGGGATGCGTCGACGAGGAAGCGGTCCCCGTGTCTCGGGCGAGACCCTTCCTCGAGATGCCACCGTGACGCCTCCGCACGAGTCCCGACGTGGCCTGGCAGGCCCACACGAAGGCGGCGACTCGACGACGAGCGGGTGGCTCGCGGAGGCGTCAGGCGGGGTCCAGGCGCGGAGCCGGCGCCGTCTTGGCCGCGGCTCCGCGCCAATCCTCCGCCGGACGGAGGCCGCCCCATCGGCGCGCTCCCCCAGCAGGGCCCAGGGCTGCTGTGGCGCTCCCCACGCTCCAGCCGGGAGGATACAAACCCCGGGCAGAGCCCGGTTTGTAGTGCGGCGCACGTGACCGGAACGCGATGCGGTGGACAGGAACCACGGCACGTGACCGAGTGGTTGTGACGTCACCGCAGTGCTTGTGCCAGGCCGCGTGCACTTTGAGGGCAGGTGGCGTTGTCGGAAGGCTCGCTGGCAGGAGGTCACGAGACAGACCCACGTGCCATTTGTGATCTGACTGAGATGACTGGCGGGTGCACCACCTCTGTTCCCCAACGTGCCAATTTGATGCGTTCTATCCGCTCGGTGCTCCACTCGTTGTTGTGAGCGTCGCTCCTCTTACACTCGCTTGTTTTTTGGAAGGCGATTGCCTCCAACTCCCCAATAGCGCCCTTCACGAGCCTCCTCCACCGAGGCCGATATTGACACCACTGCTACCGGTCGTCGGCAAGTCCACCCAGCCCCGCAGCATTGTTACGCCTTCCCGAGTTCCGATCTTCCTTCTGGGATCGCACTGCCGCTGCTGCTTCTGCTGCTGCCACCATCCTAGAATCTCGCGCGGATCTTAAAGACCTCTGCTGGCGAACAAGGAACCCAAACATCACGGCACTTTCTGGCTTTGAAATCAATCCCCTTGCAGTCGCGGTGGAACCAGCAGCCGCATCGGAGCATCGCCAGGGCCGATGCTCCACATCTCCTTCGACGGTGGACAATGAAAGACGAAGCCGGAGTGGTGCGATTGTGGCCGTGTAGCCCCCCGCGATGGAGCCGTGGTCTGTGCCCCTTGCACGGGGCGAGGGACAGCAGAACCACGCGAACGAACTCCCTCCCCCTCTCCTGCAGCCCTCTCTCACGGGTCCCAGCAGCAGACATCGATATTGGCATTCGGCTTCTGGACAGCATTGCTGCTTCTGCTGCTGGCACCATGCGCACGGAGAGAGAATGCCACTGAGGGTGTCACATCGGGGCAAACCCGCGGCTGTGAGAAGCGCTCACACAAACAATTACTTGTTTAAGCACATACACACACTCGTGTTCAAACACACACACACACGCGTGTTCACACACACACACGCGCGTGTTCACACACACACACACACGCGTGTTCACACACACACACACGCGCGCGTGTAAATACGTGCTTCGCGTTTACAGCTGCTGTCAATATGTACACCTTTTAGCTGCCGCAAAGCGTGATATATATCCATCGTGTTACCTGATATGGCGCAAGCTCAAGGGCAAACCCCGCCCCCACTATCTGTGCCGTAAACCTCACAGGCGACGAGTCGCCGTCGATTAGTGAAATCGGTGCACGGAGGTCTCCCGTA